CTCACACACATATATATATATATATATGGACTTTCGGCAGTAAAAAGTTCATTAAAAATAAACAATAGAGTTTTATTTATTTATTTATAGATACGTCAAATTTTTATTTTCAAAAAATACAAATTGAAAAAATACAATTATAAAAAGAATACAAATTTTTTTTAGCTACAATACAAACTTTTTTTTCGTTTACAATTGTATACAAATTAGCGATAAATGAAAATAGTTGAAAATACTTGAAACAAAAGCAAAAACAATAATAAAATCTACAACGATCCACAGTTTTTCTATGGATATCAAATTGAGACAAAAAACGATAAATAAAGAAAAGTAATCGAATATTCAAGTTAAAAAAAATGTACATTATGTAAATATTTTTTTACTCTTGATATTTGTATAATAAATAAAGAAGGCGCATAAATAAGAAAAAAAGTTGAAACAAAAATAAAAGAAAGAAGAAAGTTTTATATGGATTTTTTTTCCCGCAATGTGTGGGTTCTGTGTAACCCTGAGATTTGGTGGTTCTTACAAATGATTTATGAACTCGAGAGAAACAGATTTACTGTCACGAATATACTCCCTCAATGCGTATATAGTCGAAAATAAAAATTAATCAAATTTTTATATTAATTTATAAACTCTAGAACAGAAAAAAAGGAATTTTTTGTTAAATAATTCTTCATTTATCTTTTCGTCAAAAAAAAAGTAAATGTTCAATCAAATGCAGAATTAAATAATGATTATTCGATTCTAATAATAGAATAAAATTGTAAATTTGTAAATTTTCCCGCATTACAATTTATTTGTGATTTTTTTGATATTCTTTCTAGTAAATTGTCAGTAGTAAAAGAATTTTTTAGTCAGACTTAATTAAAAGAAATACTTAATTTTTTCTAAAATTGACATGAGTGGTAAAAATACCAGGAAATAGTTCTAATTTTTTTCACGTTTGTATCTAAGTAGTAGAAATAGTTTTTAGTCAGACAAAATAATTAAAAATGTAATAAATTCAAAAGTAGTAGTTCAAATCCGTTTTAGTCAGACAATTATTTTTCTACTAAAATTGTCATCAGTAGTATAAATATTTTCAGTCAGACAATTTAAAATTCTGCAAAAGTTGTTGTCAGTAGTAAAACAATGTTTAAGTCAGACTAAATTACTCTAGTTTTTCTAAAATTCAAATACCAGTAGTAGGAAAACATTTTAGTCAGACAAAATAATTAAAATCCTACTAAAATCGAAATGAGTAGTAAAAAAATACATTCTAATCTGACGAAATAATAAAAAATTGTATTAAACTCAATATTAGTAGTAAAATTAAGTTTTAGTCAGACAATTATTCTAATTTCATTCAAATTGAAATTAATAGTAAAAATACTTTAGGCAAAAATCACAATCAAATTCGTGTTAGTAGGAGAAATCAAAATCAGTAGTAGGAATAGAATTTAGTCAGACAAAATAGTTCAATTGGATTAAATTCGATATCAGTAGAAGAAGTAAATTTTAGTCAGACGATTATAAAGATTTTACTCAAATTGGCATCAGGAGTATAAATACGTTTTAGTGAGGCATAATAGAAAATTATTATATTCGATATTAGTAGTAGAAATATATTTTAGTCAGACAATTAGAAAAATTTTTACTCAAATTGACATCAGTAGTATAAATACATTTTAGTCGGGCATAATAAAAAAATCATTAAATTCGATATCAGTAGTAAAAATACGTTTTGATCAGACAAAATTTTAAGAACTCTATGAAAGTCGATTTAAGTAGTAAAAATATATTTTAGTCAGGCAAATTATTCGAAATTCTGCAAAAATGAATAGTAATTAATAAAAATTAAATATTAATCAACTCTTTCAGTTAAACAAAATAATTAGAATTCTAATAATCTTGCCATCAGGTAGTAGTAAAAGTACGTATTAGTCAGACAGAATTTTTTTATTCAAGTAGTATAGGTACGCTTTAGTCAGACAACTGATTATAATTCAACTGAAATTGACAACAGTAGTATAATTAAAATTAAGTCAGACATAATATTTCAACTTTCGTAAAATTAATATCAGTAGTAAAAGAGTGCTTTGGTCAGACAAATTGAAGAGAATTCTATTAATTCTGTTATCAGTAGTAGAAACCTGTTTCAGTCAGACGGAATATTTTTAATTCTATTAAAAATTAATAGCTATTAATTAATTTAATTGATTTTTGACCCAATTGTGTCAAAAGACAAAAATCACAGTTTTCTTGACAGCATCAAATTGATACTATAGTGGATCAAATTGATGCAAAAAATTTGGATCAATTTTTGATTTGATCCACATTTTTGGTATCAGTCCGTTGCAATTTGATACTATTTGGTTGTCAGTAAGTATATAAATTCACAAATTACAGTGATTTATAACAAAATAATTAATTTTTAAAAGAAAATCCAATTGATATTCCTATAAGTCAATGAACCGGAAACGTTGAACAAAAAAAGATATGTTTTTAAACAAAAGTAATGGAAAAAAAGTTATATACAAAATTTGTTACTATTACAGCGAAATAAAAAGCTTTGGGAGTGAAAGCCGGGAACGAAAAGTTTTCCACGCCGCACTTATATATGAACGATGGATTGAAATACATTACCGAGTTCAGTCAAACATCGTTATTACTATATGGCGAGTGGAGAGTGGAAATAATTTCGATATGATTTATCGTGGGGCAGATTTTTTTTTAATGAAAAAAAAAATATACATTGTTCTATAATTCACGAGAATTAAACTTTGAAAGAATAAATACTTTATCTCAGTGTATTACAAATAAAAAGTAATTTAAAATACATAATTACTGTTATTGTTTTTTGATAATTAATGATTATAATATTGCTTAATGATAATAGTCAACATTACGATTTTTTTTTTTTTTTTTTGAATTAATTTCCATTTCTTTGTGACAATTTTTACTGAGAAGTGAAAAAGAAAAATTGAAAATTTCGATTTTATAGTCGAAAATGTAAAAAAGTGTCCTTTTTTTAAAATTAGAGAGTAGTGTGGGGTAAAAAGGACAGTTTTTCACTTTTTAGGCTATAAAATCGAAATTCTCCCCACCCTACTCGGTGCTGATTTTAAATTCGTAAAAATAAGTAAAATTTCCAATAGTATCGAATTTTAGTGTTTAAATAAATAAATTTTGATTGTTTAAGTATTATTTAAATATTAAAGAAAATTAATTTTTTTCTTATCACAACAAAGTGAATAATAAAAATATTTTGAGAAACGAAAAGTAAAAATTATTACAGAAGGAATAAAAAGCAAACAAGGTAGACGAAAAACTAAATAAAAAAAAAACAAAAGGGAGAAGCAAATGAGAAAGAAAATAAATAGAGAGGCAAAAAATATTAAATATCAAAATTTACATGAAAATCAATATAAAAATATAATACTTGAATATTTTCTTTTTTTTTTTTAATAATTTTTTTCTTTTTGAACACACAATATCTATTATTTCTTCTACTGAAAAATGTGTGTACATTTAAAATTCCTCACCAACTCTCTGCCTAGCTAAAAATGCAATTATAAACATTCAGTCATTATCGCAACTTTCCACTCTCCTTCCTTTTTTTCTCTTCCACCCTTTCGTTTTATATACATTTAACATTTACGCGAGGCGACTGAAATCGGTTCACACTGACGATAAAATCAAATGAACATTTTCATTACTTGTAAAAATGCATTCTCGAGAAATACACGAAGAGAATTGAATTTTTTTTTTACATACATTTCCCAGAATGTGTACTTAAAAAAAAAGCACAATACCAATTGTAATTTCAATTTTCTGTGAAATTAATAATAATTATTATTTCTGTTTAACATTTAAAGATATAATTAAATGACAATTGATTTTAAACACAACGATTACATTTTGTTTATTGTTATTATTATAATTATCAAAATTAATATAAAATAATTCTAATAATTATAATTATAATTATAATACATAATATAATAATAATAATAATAATTATTATTATTATTATTATAATTATAATTATAATTATTATTAGTATTATTATTATTATAAATTATTATTATTACTATCAATTATTAATATTAATTATTATGTTTAGTAGTCTAGATAAGAGTATAAAATTATAAATAGTATATTATACAAAATAATACAAAAGATACATAATGATAATGAACATTTGTAATTTTTCACCTAAAAATAAAAAAAAATCCACTATTTCCAAATAATTATTCATCAATCAAACAAGAAACATTTGTCACGCATGTCATAAAATAATTTAATCACTCATTTTCAACATTCTCCACCTCTCTTCTCCTCACCTCTTGAAAATTGATTGCAAATCGACGTTCAAAATGAAAGCCAACAGTGCTTGGAGTAATTAAAAATTTTAAAATACTCAATCATTGGATTTTTAAATTTTTGTTTGTTTCTCTTTAATCCAATGTGAAATTATGTACTTTATAAAAGTGTTTAATTTTTTTTGTGTATATAATTTTTTTTTGCAGTATTTTCAGCGTTTGAAATATTTTCATTATTTTATTTATTTACCTATTTATATTAAATTTTTCAATAAAATATAACGTTTGTAGTTGTGAATTTTAATTTTGTTTGTTTTGGTTTTATGCTTTCAGTTGGGAAATTTTTTTATTTAGACAAGAATTTTTTTTTAAGCTCAGTAGTTTCGATAAAAAACATTTATAATTGAATTTTAATTTTTTGTTTTCGTCTTTGCTTTCCGAAGGTAAATTTTTATTTTTTTTTAATTTGAGAGAAGAATTTTATTTTTCTTTAAAAGCGCAGTAGTTTTAATAAAATATAACGTTTATAATGTAAAATTTTAATTGCGTTTGTTTTCGTCTTTGCTTTTAAGGAGGTAAATTTTTATTCTTTTTAATTTAAGAGAAGAATTTTGTTTTTCTTTAAAAACGCAGTAGTCTCAATAAAATATGACGTTTATAATGTTAAATTTTAATTTTATTTGTTTTCAGTTGGGATTTTTCACGTACTATGTTGCGGTGATGGGCGAAGTGAATCCCTCGGGGCCGGTCCCTATCGACAGCGTCTTTATATACAGGCCGGACAAACGCCTTGAGCTCTGGAGGTTTGCCTTCTACATGTTCCTTCATGCTGGGTAAGTCGGTTTTCTTATTCAACATTTTTCTTCTAAAAGTTTGATTAAAGGCTTCTTCTTCTTCCTCCTCTTCTATTTTTTTTTTACTTTTTCCTTTTTTTTCTCCTTCTTTTTTTTTCTTTGTTAGTACCTTCAACTTCTTTCCTTTACCTAATATTATGTTGACACAACCAGAGTATAACCAAGTTTGGATGGTTCCAACAAGTTCTAGGCTAATTTTATGGTAGTGCCTTAGTTGATCAAAGGAGTTTACTAATATTAAATTTACAAAGTTTCAAAAAAGGAAAAAAACATTTTTTTTTATAAAAGTGAGCGATGTATTTTATATTTTTACGGAAATCCTTTTTAGAATTTTCGAAATTTAATTTATTATTAAAGTATTATTTATTTTATTATTATTATTTAAAAATTTGTCTTACAGTGAATAACGAAAAAATAAATAAAAGTAAAAAACATTTTTAAATAGAAAAAAAAACAGAAAACATAGTTTTTCTAAGGATATCAAATTGAGAAAAAAACTACTTTTGATTCGTTTTTTGTCTCAATTTGATATCCTTAGAAAAACTAAATTCTTACTTTCGAGTATGAAAAAAGTATAGTGCGAAGATTGATAATTACAATTTTTATTATTTAATTTAAAAAATGATACTAAAATTTTTTAATAAAATTGAATTTTCGCAAAGTTAATTTGAAAATTCTAAAAAATAAGAATTTTGAAATTTTCCAATTGTACTGTTTCAAGATAATTGAATTTTTATAAACAAATAATTGAAAATTTTTGAAATAATTGAAATTTCTTTACATTCTGTTAAAAATAATTAAATTCTTTTAAAGAATTTTATTTAAATTTTTCGAAAATAATCAAGGGAAATTAGTCACCGTAATGATAATTATATTTTTAAAAATTGTTTAAAATTAATACAATTTTAATCTAATTCCTTGAAAAGTGTTATTATTCTTAAAATTTTTTATTAAAATTCGTCGAAAGAATTCAATTATTTATAGAAACTGTAAAAAGAATCCTTCTCTAGAATTCAATTATTTCCATAAATAGCAAAATTCTTTAGATTTACTAAATTCTTTTGAATATTATTTTTAAGAAAAAAATTCTTCACAAGAATTCAATTATTTTCATAAATTTCCATAAAATTCTAAAAAACAATTCAATTATTTTCAAAAGTAATAAAATTCTTCACAGAAATTCAATTATGTTCAGGAAAGAATTCAATTATTTTGAAAAATTTTAATAAATCCTTCGAAACAATTCAATTATTTCCTTAAATAGTAAAATCTTTGCAAAAATTAAATTATTTTCTAAAATTTTAATAAATTTTTCGAAACAATTTAATTTTTTAAAATTTTTAATAAAATATTTCCGAAAGAATTAAGTTATTTTCTGAAATTTTAATAAATCCTTCGAAACAATTCAATTATTTTTATAAGTAGTAAAATTCATCGCAAGACTTAAATTATATTTTATAAATAATAAAATTCTTCTCACAAATTCAATTATTTTCAATAAAATTTTAATAAACTTGAAAAATGAAATATTTAAAAATAATTATCAATAGAAACGATTATTTTGAAAAGTTGAAAAAATTCTTTGTTTAATTCAATTATTTTCCAAATTTTTATTTAAAATTATTAAAAAAAAACATTATTTTCAAAAAATTTTAAAATACTTGTCAAAAGAATTTAATTATTCATCAAAACTCTCGTAAAAATTTTGGAAGTCATTTGTAGATTTATTTATGTTCGAAATCACATAAATTTAAATTTGATGAGAAAAAAAAATCGTGAAATAACTGCAGGAATTTTGTTGAACGAAAATAGTTGACATCCCGATTAACTTTAAAAAAAAATCCCATAGATCCTAAAAGCTTATTTTCTAAAAAAAAAAAAATGTAAATTTTTAATTCGAAATTTAGGAATCGTTATAAAAATTATTAATCAGAGAATTAATTGCATGATCCAATTTTCTGCAATTATTATTATAATTATTAGCATTCGGCAAAGTTAATGGCATTTTACGTGCATTATTAAAGTTTCCCACGCGTAATCGAGCATGTTTGGGAGCGGTCCTGTGACTTGGTAGCACTTTCGCATTAATAACAAAGTGATAGTCGATAGCAAAACCACCATCACCACCATCAACATTACTGTATACCAGAAATGTAATGAGTTTCATGGGAAACGTGGGTTATTCTTATCGCTATTTACGTAAATACTTCAAATACGTGTACGCATGTATATATAAATATATATTTTTTTTTATATGTACGCATGTGTGTATATATATATATATATATTCGTAGGAAAACACAGAACGTTCTTATCTTAGTTTCCATGAATAATTTAAAGAACGTCGCGCGTTTGAAAACTTCACATTCCCTATAGCTTGCTTCTTGTCCTTCTTTTCCCGCTTTTCAACCCTCCCCCTACTCCCCTATTTTATCCCATTTGTCACATCGTTTCCCTTTTGCAAAACCCCTCGCACGTTGAACAATAAGACGTGTTCACACATTTTTATCACTCGCACACGAAAAATGTCACTCGCTAAAGATTTTCACTATCCATTATTGACAGATTATAAAAAAAAAAGAAAAAAAATATGGAAAATGAAAAGAGGGAATATAAGAGTTCTTTTTTTTTGGGAAAAAAATTGAAATTCTTATTCGTATAAAACTTCAATCAAATTGTCAAGGAGGAAATTTTACAAGTTTCAGAAAAATTGAGGAAGAAAAAAAGAAAATTACTATTTTGATTCTATATTAAGTACTTTTAGTTAAGAAATTTTTTAAATATTATTAAATTTTATTAAAATTTTCATTTTTTTTTATTTCTACACTTTTATTTTATATTTTCCATCTATTACTGAAGGAGAAATATTATTATTTATTATATATTATCATCCCTGATTATTATTAATAATTAGAATTATTTTGTCCAGGCAACAACTATTATAATTAATAACAATATTTGAAGTTATAATTGTACAACAAATATAATATTTAATAAATAATTTAATATAATAAATGTAAATAGTAAAAAAAAATAAAATAATTAAACAACAAAACAATTGAATAAAGAAACAATATAAAACGGAATAAATAGAAAAATAAAGTAAATTAAAAAAGTAAAATAATTGAACAGCGAAATAATAGACAGTAAAATAAAAGCAAAACGGAATAATAGAAAAACGGAATAATAGAAAAACGAAATTATAGAAAAACAAAATAATAGAAAAGCAAAACAATAGAATATAAATTTCTGTTAAATTTATTTATAAATATTTTTAATTGTAAAATTTTTCGAAAACAATAATTTCTTTTTTTTAATATTTTAAATATTTAATTATTATTATTTTTTCATAGGAATTAAAATTTTCAAAAAATTTATAATTTAAGAATATTGGTACTGTAACTTTTTAAAAATTATTTTCATATTCTATTATTATCTAAAATTTAAACCAAAATTCATTTTCAAATCAATTTTTATTAGAAAATTCTACGAGAATTCAATTATTTAAATACAAAAGTAAATTATTCATTGAATAATTAAATGTTTCTGGAAATTTAATTTTTATAAAGAATTTTATTATTTAACAAATTTTTTAATAATTGTATTCTTTTGACGAATTTTAATGAAAAAATTTAGTTACATTTTTCAAGGAATTTGATTAAAATTGTATTAAAAATAATTGACATTCTGCGATGAGTTTTATTATTTCAAAAAATAATTGAATTATTGAGAAGAAATTTATGGAAAATTTGTAAATATTTGGATTCCTGTGAAATTTTTATTGTTTATGAAAATAATTAAATGTTTGCGTAGAATTTTATTAAAGTTGTTTTTAAATAATTGAATTCTTTTGGGTAATTTTATTTAAAAAAATAGTAAATATTGAAAATCATTGAAATGAGGAAAATTTTTGAAAATAATTGAAATTTTGACTAGAAATTTATTAAAATTTTTGAAAAGAATTGAATTTTGAAGAAGAATTTTTTTATTTATAAAGATAATAATTTTGAACATAATTGAATTTTGTGATAAGAATTTTATTACTTTTGAAAATAATTGAATTTCTGCAATCATTTGTAACTTCTTTAAAATTCAACTTTTTTTAGTGTTTTTAACTAAAATTCTTCTATAAATCCATTATTTTTAATAATAAATTAAAAATATATTGACAAATTTAACTAATTTTAGAAGATTTTAAATTATTAAAATTTTTCAAAAATCTTAGTTCTTTAAAATTTCTAATTAAATTCATTCAAATCAAAAAAATTTTTAAGGATAGGAATGAAATAACGAAATAAACAAAATAACAAAAAAGAAATAACGAAACAAAGTAGTAAGAAAATAAAATACTAAAATTAAGAAACCAAAAAAATAGAAGTACAAACAAAATAGGGCCTTAATAAAATACAAAAAATAAAATTACGAAAAATAAAAATATAAAAATAAGAAACACCGCAGGAAACAGAAAGAGAAAAATACCAGAATGAAATTGTTCTCCATATTTATGAAGAAAATTCATAAAAAAAAAATGAACAAATATTTTTAATACTCGATATAAATTATGTAGCTCACAATTTGCAAAGTCCTGCAACAAATATTCTCGAGAAAATGAAAGGGAAGTAAAAAAGAAAAAGGGAAGCGAAAATTCCACACTGGTATATTGTTCTTCCTTTGCCTTAATAACCAAAGTTTTCAGCCTTCAATGTAAGCGCGTGAAAACCCCGTGTGCGTGAATTGTTTATTTCCACTTTTCTGCCAGAATCGGCCTGAAACTTTTCACTTTATGTTCAACTTCTTTTTTACTTTTCCTCTCTCTCTTTCTCTCTTTCATTTCTATGTTCCTTTTTTCGGTTCTTTTTTTCCTCTTTTTTTCTCCTTCTTCTTTTTGTTTTTTATACATGTTTTTCACCGTCTATAACATTGTGTTGGTTTCTACTTGCCTACATATAGTATGGACGTTAATTAAAGCAGACGTATTG